GCAGACCTCGTGGAGAACGTTATAAATAATTGGGAACTCTTAGCTATTTTTGACATTGAGTCTAAATCGGAAGATAATTGGATTCCTAATTCAGTATGTGTGTTTCATATGTTTCCTAATAAGGATTTGTTTGCTACATATGAAACTGTTTCCAAAGGTGTCATGGTTATGGAAAACAACGCATCTTGTCGGGTTGCTGGAATTGGCACAGTCAGATTGAAGCTTTTGGATGGGATAATTAGAACACTTGGTCGGTTCGAAATGTTCCAGATTTGAAGAAAAATCTCATCTCGTTGTCTATCCTTGATTAAAAATGTTATGAGTTCTTTGGTGGAGATTTAGCTTTGAAAGTTTGTAAAGGTGCCCAAGTTGTATTGGAGGGACATAAATGGTCTCGATTATACATCTTGCAGGGTCGTGCAGAATTTGAAATAGTTAATCAGCACAAGTTTAGTACCGTGGTGGACATTCAGTTTGGTACAATACCATTAGGAGCTCATAAATGATCAAATTTGAATAATACAACTCATTGGAGTTTTTGAAGACACGAATAATACCAATTTGCCACAATCACCTGCGATGCCATTGTATTCAATTGGTAGGGACGAACCCAGTGAAAAAATGGTATGTGAATGCTGATTTTGTTGAGCATACTTTAAGTAGAATAGAATGTGTACAATCTAGGAGCCTTCTGTAAAAGCATTTGGTATTGATTTTGCTTTAGGGTGTGTTACAACACATTTTGGTAAATTATAAAATCATTAAGATTTTTTAGAATCTGAGATAATTCTGCAGAGTAGTGATTGGATTCATTGGAAGAGGTGGAGTATTGTGTTTTGTTGGAGAAATTATTTTTTTGGTTATTGTTGAAGAAACCAGATCATTCCTTGGTGGAATGCTATTGGAATCCTATGTCAAGTTGAAATTTTATTTTGAAAGTCCATTGTGAGTTCTAATTTGTTTTGGACTTGATTTTTTGGTATCCTACTTCATCAACAACTCTACAAGGAGGGTTTGGACATCCCCTACATGTTCCCTATAAATACTAGACTTTTCTATACAATTTTGTGGAGTGAGAAAATAGATTACTAAAATTATAGGATCCATTGTAATTTTCTCTCTTCTGCATTATTTTTGAGTCAATAAAATCTTTTAATTCCTCTGCCATATTCTTGTCTTCTTTATTCTTTTACTTGATGACATAGGCAAAATTACTGTACATACACTCAAAGCTTTTGTAATTCATATAAGAGAATAATGAGATCAAGAGAATCCTTAAACTGATATCATTGTAATTCCAAAGGGGGGCAGGGATTCTGTATTTTTAAAGTCATAAAAGACAACTTTCTTGCCTGTCAATTTCGTAGTGGTCTAAAGCCAACAACTCCAAAGATAAACTGAAACTTCCAACCGTTTGCAAAACTTCATCCGTTATGTTTTGGCATTGTAGCTTTAGAGATTTTAGAAGAGAGCATCATTTCACTATAGAAAGCAAGCCTCTGTTGTTGATGAACTCAGATTCTATCAATAAAGTTTGAAGAGATATGCAGTGAAACCCCACAGCTTCTAACGATACACCAGTAAGACTTTCTCCAAACACAAGACCAAAAGATTTCAAAGTTCTCCCACGACCAACGACTAGCTGAACGAATCCAGTATCAGTCAAACTTTTGCAAAGCTTTAAATTCAAATGTTCGAGTGGAGTACAATATTTTGCAATAGTAGCTAGACTTTTATCTCCAACACCGATATCCTCTAAGAAAAGTTCATAACAAATGCTCATTTAGGCATAGCATCTAACATAAGCAGTAATCAGAGGTTAATCATGGATAATTTTAAACATGATCAACATATTATAAGAGTTTTGTGGAATCCAAATGAACAGCATGCCTACGGCTAGGTTTGGTATGAAAGGAAGAAGGGAGGAGTGGAAAGAGAGATGAGACACCACTTTATACCCATGGTTGTTCAACATCTGTTAGTTGAAATAAAAGATTAAAAAAAGAACACTCACTCCATTTCTTCCAACACTTTAAAAACTTTCCCCTCCAATCGAGCAAAGGAAACCCAATTTCCCCCACATTTTCCCACTCTCATTACTCATTCTCCGTGTCTTCCCTAATACCACAGCCTAAACAAATAAGCAAAAGGATTCTAGATTTTGCTACAAAACAGCTATATATGTCAAAGCAAAAGTGCAAGCAGAAAAGCCAGATTTATATTCTAAATTCTCACCCAATGCAAATGTTCTTCTATGATTTAGAGATAGCACGTCAATATTTTGATCCAAATAAGAGTACTCCTCTTCTCAACCAGAATGATAATTAATAATCAAATGATGGAATGCAAGTAAAAGTAATAGGAACATTTGAAATTGAAGCCTCAGTCTTCAATTTTTATTCCTCAAATGTTATTTCTCAATCAATAATGGAACTAGAACCAAACAAAACTAAACCTGTAGAACCGAACAGTTCGATTCCGACTTTGTTCCATGTCTTTAAAAAAAATCATTTAGTTCCATTATTTCAAAAATCACTGGTTCATGGTTCTATTCTATTCGGTTCTGTTGAAACTAGAATCAAATGGAACGATATTCATCCGTAATACTGAAAATTCTTGAACATATTGATTGTTATTGACGAATTTTAACGTCAATAGCACGTGGGAACCCGTTCAAAAAAAAAAAAAAACCATTCTTACTATAGGAGTAAAAAAAAAATTGACTACTACAGGTAACCAATTATTATTGAAATCACATTTTTACCAAGGAATCAACTCGTTCTACCTTTTGCAATAAATATAGGTTAATTACACCATACACAATGTTTTGACTTCAAATTCCAATTTTACTATTTTTACTTTTTTATTCAACACACAAATACACAAACATTGATAGCCCGCCACCGAATAGCCACGCACCATCAAGCAATCAACTATTGACCGACCGCCGTCGATTATCACCCGATTAGAACTATTCTTTGTCACCGAACCATCTTCGAAATCATCTTTGGTTTTAATTTGCTGCCATGACCACAACCACTCCGACCACCATCGCGACAACTCTGTAGGAGATATTACACCGATAATGTGCATATTATATTCATCAAGAGTATGCCGTTAATATGCGTGAAATCGAAACATCATTCGACTTATCGAAATATGAATTGAGAAGATAAAATAGCGAT